TCCCCCCGTGCCATGTTACTGTGTCACATTGTGTTGTAAATGCCGTAAAACTGTTCCTCCCCATCCCCCCGTGCCATGTTACTGTGCCACATTGTGTTGTAAATGCCGTAAAACTGTTCCTCCCCCATGCCTTGTTTCAGCGCCGGGTACGTGATAGTGGCCGGCTACGCGCTGAGCGCCGCGCTACAAATCTACCTCCTGTTCCACGCCATGAACCTGGCCTACATCTCCTGGGACCGGAAGTGTAACCCGCCGTCTACAAGCGAGCCCGGCGGTCCCCTCATGCTGCATGTGTACGGCCCCTATGGCCGACTCGCCACCGCCCCCCGCCCCACCCACCACAACGGCCTGACCTTCTCCTGTAGCGTGGCCAACGTGACGTCACTGGACGGGCTAGCCGGGGCCACTCTGGGCGGTGGGGGTGAGGGGCAGGTCGGTGGTCAGTCTGGTGGTCACTCGGACCTGTCTCCCTTGGATACCCAGTTGTACGATCTTCCACGAGGGTCTCCCGTCCACACAGAGTTGTACGATGATCTTCCACGAGAGTCTACCACCAACAGAGAGCTGTACGATGATCTACTACGAGAGTCTACCACCAACACAGAGTTGTACGATGATCTACTACGAGACCCTACCACCAACAGAGAGCTCACTGATGACCCCCAAGAGACCCCCGTGGACAGAGATACTCAAACTCCCACAACTTCCGGTCCGACAGATCCGCTTCACCCACCAAACGATCGTGCCGCCCAAGACAAGGTGAGGGAAGTCTCTCACACCGACGTCTCTCCATCTAGGATTCTGTTATCTTCTCGTGACCGTTACAAGCCTCCACAACACCATAGACGTCCAACTGGGGACCGCTCGAAGGCGGATGATTCAAACCCTGACCCCTCTCCCTCCCAGCCCCCGGCCGAGAAGACTGACCTGGGCTCACTTGACCCGGACACGGTACAGTCCATCTGCGCAGACGTGGAGAACCTGAGCTATGTCTACGCCTTCTCCGAGTCCAACGACAGTGTCAGCTTTATCTGCTGCAAGGCTCTCTTCCGGCACGCCCACTCCGACACGCATGATGGCCACCCCTCCACTTCCGACCACCCCATGACGTCAGACGTGGGTAGCCATGGTCGTCTGCCAACTGACACGTCACGTGGCCAGGAGCTCCGCCCGCCGGCCGCCCTGAGCGTGTTGCTGACGTCACGAGAGACGGGCGGGGCGCACGGGGAGCTACAGCTGACCCTGGACAGTGACCTAGTTCCGCCGGGTGACGTCATGCCGCCCGGTAGAGAGGACTGCCGGTACAAAGTGGCCGGTGAGTTCACTTCTCGCTGGTCGGGTCCTCAGAAAAAACCAGCATAGTCACGAGATCGTGAGGGTGTCAATTGTGAACGCTTGTTGACTCTTAACTGTATTTCTGTTCCGCTGTTGGTTGATTATTGTTGCTAGATTCCCCATCCAACAAACAGAGAAAATAAACCATCAGTCAAACAAATAGGAAATTACGAGTCCACAAGCTTTTCCAACTGACACCCTCACAATAATGTTCTGTTTGTGACTATGCCCCTTTTCCCCGTGGGCTCATTTGTATACAAGAGCGGGGGGTCCTGGTTCAAATCCCTATAGGTGGGATCGAGTTGTGTGGTTTTCAAGGCTCTCTTCAAGGCTCTCTTCAAGGCTCTCTTCAAGGCTCTCTTCGAGGCTCTCTTCGAGGCTCTCTTCGAGGCTCTCTTCGAGGCTCTCTTCAAGGCTCTCTTCAAGGCTCTCTTCAAGGCTCTCTTCAAGGCTCTCTTCTTCAAGGCTCTCTTCTTCAAGGCTCTCTTCTTCAAGGCTCTCTTCTTCAAGGCTCTCTTCTTCAAGGCTGACTGTTGGGCAAAAACATGCATTGTAGATGTTTTAGGTGGGTGGCTGGCGGGTGCTCTTGTGTGGTTTGCTCCTTCTTTCCTATCAAACAGCTATTGTCCTGATCTCGCCTCCTTCTTTTTGTGTTTGTTACTCTCTTGTAACACCTAATCTTTTGGATTTATATGACCTTATTGTGTTGCAAGTGACGTAAAGTTCTTTCTAAAACTAAAAGATGTTTTAGGCTCTTATCAATACAATTTGGGTCAACTCGGAGGCGGGTGTTGACGTTGTCTGTCGCAGGCAACTTGTGTGAGGGATACAACATCCCGGCAGACAGACGGACATAAAAAGTAAAGTTGTTCCCGTATCCGATCCGGACATTGGGGATAGCCTTGTTAGTGAGACAACTTCCTGGGCCTTGGGCAGATTGTGGTAGGGTGGGCAGTTCCTTTCCACGCCGTCTTTACTTCCCCAACTCGAAGTCAGGTACCCATTACTGCTGGGTGGCCAGTTCCTTTCCACGCCGCCTTTACTTCCCCAACTCCAAGTCAGGTACCCATTACTGCTGGGTGGGCAGGAAGGGGCGAAAACAATCAGTGTCCGAACCGAGGCTCGAACCCGGACTTAAGATGAACATACTCGATACAAAGTATCTCTACACGGCAATCGAATTTGGCTAAGATCTCTTGGAGATGGACGTTAAACTCGGAGGTCCCGTCTCTTGAAAAACCTAACAGTGTTGATGAGAGCGAAATAAAGGAAGTTCCTTTTTGCGTGGCGTGCAACACATAATTATTTTATTGTTCGGCTCATTCTCATAGAATGAGTCCATTGTGATCCTAATGTACGTATGAAATACTCAAATGTAGGGACAGCAACTCTTGTTGACGTAGTTGATCT